AATCATGGGTTTCGCAAGTTCGATGTCGAGACTCGAAACCGTCTGTAGAGACGACTTAGGAAACCTGGCGGGGTGTTGTATTCTCGCATAGAGCAGTTACCACGCTGCGATCTGTTGAGACTCAACCCTCGGCTTGGGGAATCGTCTTGTCGGTTAGACGAGACCCCACTCAACACGCGCGAGCGTCGTCGTACTTTCGAAAGAAAGAGAGAAAGAAAGAAAGTCTGTGGAAAAAAGAAAGAGAGAAAGGCAGATAAGCCTAATACGATCTTGGTGGATACGAAAAGCGCAAGCTTTACGGGCTGGCTTATATAAGAGGGTGGCCCCGTTTGAAGGGGCGAAGGACGGATCCGCGATATCGACCTCGGGTGCCTTGAGCGACACCGGGGTAAAGACAGTGAATGACCCTAAGAGGCGCGGCTGCGGGAGGCATAAAGAAAAACATACCAAGGAAGAAAAGAAGAAAGAAAGTAGGGGAGAGAGGAAAGTACTTCGCGATGCATTTGTTCGCCTGCCAGGCTCCGATGGCGTACCCGGCGATCATCCCCGAACGGAGGATGACTTTAGGCGCGCGGGATGCGTCTAAGGCCGGTTTCTGTCTGGGTGCTATCTCGAAGATTAGTTCAAGAGCGCGTTCAACGGTCGTGCTGCTGGTAGAGACTACCGGCGGCCGAGTCGCGACGCGCTACAGGGTGGCTCTCCAATGCTCTCCACCATGAGGAATAAATTTCCTCATTATTTTAAATCTGCACCAACAGCTTCATGTGAAAGCAACACGCCGCGAGGGGACTTGTAATTTTCCCGCTCGTCGGCGAAAGCAACACGCCGCGAGGGGACTTTGATTTTCTCGCTCGTCGGCGAAAGCAACACGCCGCGAGGGAAATTGCGATTTTCTCGCTCGATGGCGAAAGCAACAAGCCGCGAAAGGACTTGTAATTTTCCCGCTTGACGGCGAAAGCAACACGCCGCGAGGGGACTTTGATTTTCTCGCTCGTCGGCGAAAGCAACACGCCGCGAGCGGACTTGTGATTTTCTCGCTCGATGGCGAAAGCAACAAGCCGCGAGGGGACTTGTAATTTTCCCGCTTGACGGCGAAAGCAACACGCCGCGAGGGGACTTTGATTTTCTCGCTCGTCGGCGAAAGCAACACGCCGCGAGGGAAATTGCGATTTTTTCGCTCGACGGCGAAAGCAACATGCCGCGAAAGGACTTGTAATTTTCCCGCTCGACGGCAAAACCAACACGCCGCGAGGGGATTTGTAATTTTCCCGCTCGTCGGCGAAAGCAACACGCCGCGAGGGGACTTGTAATTTTCTCGATCGATGGCGAAAGCAACACGACGCGAGAGGACTTGTAATTTTCCCGCTTGACGGCGAAAGCAACACGCCGCGAGGGGACTTTGATTTTCTCGCTCGTCGGCGAAAGCAACACGCCGCGAGCGGACTTGTGATTTTCTCGCTCGATGGCGAAAGCAACAAGCCGCGAGGGGACTTGTAATTTTCTCGCTCGACGGCTAAGCAACACGCCGCGAGAAGACTTGTAATTCTCCCTTTCGTCGGCGAAAGCAATACGCCGTGAGGGGACTTGTGATTTTCTCATCGGCGAAAACAATATGCCGCGCCGAGACCGTAGATGCCGCCCGACAGCTCTCTCGTAGGTACCGCCCAGCCACGCGTCGTAGGTACCGCCGAGAACGGACTTAGTTCGTCGAGGGCCGCGCGGAGGCCGTAGGTGCCGCCCGACCGCTCTCTCGTAGGTACCACCCGACCACGAGTCGTAGGTATCGCCGAGAACGGACTTAGTGCGTCGGGAGCCGCGCGGAAACCGTAGGTGCCGCCCGAATGCTCTCTCGTAGGTGCCGCCCGACCGCTCTCTCGTAGGTACCGCCGAGAACGGATTTAGAGCGTCGCGAGCCACGCGGAGGCCGTAGGTGCCACCCAGCCACGCGTCGTAGGTACAGCCGAGAACGGACTTGGTGCGTCGCGAGCTGCGCGGAGGCCGTAGAAGCCGCCAGAGATACCACTCGTAGGTACCGCCGGTAGTCCTCTCGTAGGTACCGCCCGGCCACACGTCGTAGGTACCGCCCAATAGGCCTCTCGTAGGTACCGCCTGGCCACGCGTCGTAGGTACCGTCCGGCCAAGCGTTGTATGTGCCGTCGAGAACGGACTTGGTGCGTCGCGAGCCACGCGGAGGACGTAGAATGGGCCAGAGATACCACTCGTAGATACCGCCAGATAGCCCTCTCGTAGGTACTGCCCGGCCACGCGTCGTAGGTAACGCCCGGTCACGCGTCGTAGGTACCGCCCGACCACGAGTCGTAAGTACCGCCGAGAACGGAGTGAGGCCGATGTAAACCCGGCACTGGGACCTATGGGAGGTCGTTTCTCCCCTACGGGGGAGACCCCCTCGAGAAGGGAACAGGATACCGAGGGGGGGAGTGCGATGGAAGTAAACCCCCCCCTCGAGGCGCCGCTTCCTCAACGGAAGCTGAGGACCCGGAGGCGGATCCCGAATGACCCAGAACCCCCGAAGGAGGGGGATAAGGAAGGGCAAAGGAAGTAGGACAACTCTGGGATGGGAGAAGGCGGAATAAAATGGGCCGGACCCCTCATAGATTTGTAGGTGGTGTGCCTGTTCTACAGGCTAATCTCAACCACGCTCGTCAAGCGCAGGATTTGTTCCTGCATATGCTGGCGGAGCGTGGTTGCGGATTGGATGTGGCTGCGAGCCGTATTGCCCCCCCCGTGGGGGGTGCTGGCTGGTTCACGGATAACCCCCCCGAGGGGGGCAGCTTGGTGGCCATCGTATGGAGAGAGACAGAGGGGTCCCCCCGTGTGGCGCTGTTAGGCGTGGAACCGGGTACGTCGCCGTTAGGTGGGGGAGCACCCTGATTATAGAGGTGTATTCCCCCCCGTTCTGAGACGTAACCCGGTTCTAGAGGCAGCTAATGGCAGAAATAGGGGAGGGTAGTTGGGACCTGCCTCCCCGGTGCTGTCATAATCGCGGGCGACCTCAATGCCAAGTCGGCCTCTTGGGGTTGCCCGCGCACGGATAAAAGGGGGGGACACCTTGAGGAGTGGATGGCTGGGCTGGGCTGGGCCTATCCACGTTAAACGTGGGGACCACGAGCACTTGCGTGCGGCCGCAGGGAGAATCAACCGTTGATTTGACAATAGTCTCCCATGCGGCCACGCGAAGGGTCACTTCCTGGAGGGTGGCCGTGGAGCTCGAAACATTATCCGACCACAGATATATCGAGCTCCGATATGCGGCCTCCCTCCAGACAATTCAAGGGCTGAAGGCAAGGGTTCAACATCGTTGGTCCCTTGCCAGATTAGATGAAGGTCTTCCTGATGGAGTCTTTATACGCCCAGACCTGGCCCGGAATGAATGTGCAGGACAATATTGACGAGGTGTGGGAGAGGGTCCGCGGCATCGTTTGGTGTGCCTGTGACACCGCAATGCCGCGGGCCAGGCCCTGTCCTAGGAGGTCGGCGTACTGGTGGTCGTCTGAGATCGCGGAATTACGCCGTACCGCGATCGCCGCCAGACGCAGGCTATATCGGGCCAGGAGAAGGCGTCCTCCAAGAGCGGAGGAAGTGGAGGCCGCCGCCGGGGAGTACTGTTCGGCCCGGTACTCCCTCAGAAACTCCATCAGGAGAGCCAAGGAGAAGGCGTGGGAGCAGCTCGTAGCTTCCTTGGATGAGGACCCCTGGGGCCGCCCATACAAATTGGTCCTTAAGAGGCTGCGGACTGGAGCTCTCCCCACGACGGAGACGATTTCTCCTCAGGTTCTGGCAAAGATCGTGGGGAAGCTGTTCCCGGTGAGCGGGCGGCAACCGGACCCCTTCCCCCTGCGTCAGCAGCAGGGGGAAGATGATGGCTATAGAGAGGTGACGGAGGGGGAAATTAGAAGAGCCATCAAAATGACCCTCCGCAAGGTCCCCGGTCAGGATGGCATCGCGAGCAAGATTTGGACCCTTGCTTGCGATGTATTGGGGGAGCCACTCAGGCACCTTTATAGTAGGTGTCTGAGGGAAGGCGTGTTCCCGGCCACGTGGAAGGAGGCCCGATTAGTGCTCCTTTCCAAAATGGGGAAAGAGGCGGGGGATCCCTTCGCCTATAGGCCCCTGTGTTTGCAGGACGAGGCGGGCAAGATTTTCGAGCGAATTATCGCCGATCGCCTCGTCCAGCACCTGTCGCGGAAGGAAAATGGCCTAGATGAAGGCCAGTTCGATTTTCGGGAGGGTCGCTCTACTGTAGACGCCATTGGGCGCCTAAGGGCCCTCTCGGACCAAATTGTTGGTGACGGCGGGGTGGCGTTGGCGGTGTCTTTAGATATCGCCAACGCATTCAACACCCTGCCGTAGGTAGAGGTGGGGAGGGGTCTGGACCAACACCAGGTCCCTCCCTACATAAAGGCCATCTTGAGGGCCATCTTGAGGGAGTACTTCCGCAACAGGAAGCTGACTTATAGGGATCAGGAGGGATCCCTAACAAGCCGGGCGATCCACTGTGGGGTTCCACAGGGTTCAGTACTGGGCCCACTCCTGTGGAACCTCGCATACGACGGGGTGTTGCGCACAGCGTTTCCCCCCGGCTGCCACGTCATCTGCTATGCAGATGACACGTTAGTGGTGGTCGGGGGGAGCGGATGGAGTGAAGCGGTGGCGTTAGCGAACATCGCCGTCGCATGTGTTGTGCGCTCTATAAGGAGAATGGGCCTTGAGGTGGCCTCCCATAAAACAGAGGTCATCTTTTTTCACGATGGCTCTCTGGGGAGCCCCCCTCGTGGCACCAAAATAAAGGTGGTAGGTGACGCCATCGAGGTGGGGGCCCAGCTGAAATACCTGAGTCTTCACCTCGACAGCAGGTGGGGCTTTGGCGAGCACTTCGCTCGCACGGCCCCCAAGGCAATCAGGATAGCGGCAGCCTTGTCGCGGCTGCTGCCCAACCTTGGTGGGCCGGGGGGAGAGTACGCCGCCTATACGTCAATACGATGGGTTCGGTCGTTCTCTACGGGGTGCCTATATGGGCCGACGCGGCCATCGCGTCACGGCGCATCAAAGTTTTGATGCGCCGAGCACAGCGCATCATTGCGCTGAGGGCGGCTCGCGCCTACCGAACGGCGACGGTTACGGTCCTGGCGTTAGTCCCTCCCTTGGAATTGATGGGGCAGACCCACTCCGAGCTATACCGCAGGGTCAAGGCCCTGCGCGAGGAGGGGATACTGCTCACGGCTGGTGTCAGGACCGTGCTTAGGTGGCAGGCGCGGCACTTCCTCGTGATCCGGTGGCAGAGATACCTGTCGGAGTCGGACGCGAGGGAGCAGAGAGCCGTACGCGCCAATCTCCCCCTACTTCCGGAATGGCTCGGAAGGAGCTGGGGCGGCGTCACCTACAGAATGGCACAGGTGCTTACCAAAGCATGGCTGCTTTGGTAAGTACCTGTGCAGAATTAAGAAGGAGCGCACAACATAGTGCCACCATTGCGGAGGGGATCAGGACTCGGCGCAGCATACACTTGAAGAGTGCCCAGCATGGGCGGGTGATCGCCGGATCCTGATCCAACATATAGGGAGGAATCTCTCCCTGGAAGCGGTCGTGGCCGCGATCCTCCGTAAAGAGGAAAACTGGAAGGCATTCTCCTCTTTCTGCGAATCAGTCATGTCGCAGAAGGAGGAGGCTGAGAGAGGCAGGAGGGGCGAGGGACAGCTCCCAGCCAGGGATGGTGGAGGAAATAGGAGAGGCCGAGGGGGGGCGAGGCGTCGTGAGACGCGTCCTCGTACCCCACCCCTGAGTGGGGCCGTAACGGCGGAATGCCCCCCCACAGAAGAGGGGAGGATTGGGCATACGGAAGGTGGGATAAGACGCTTACAGGCTCCCCCACCTCCGCCCAGAAGTGATAGGGGTGGTGAGGGGAAGTTTTCCCTCCCTCCCATGGAAAGAATGCCCCGAGCGGATTGATTGCAGGTTCTGGTTCTCGGGGGGATAAGGGGGAAGTCACGCCCCTCCCTTATTTCAGTCCCCCACAATAAGGGCTAGATATAGGCCCAGGGGATCCCTGAGGGTGTTTTCAAAGTCCCCTCTGGCTCGGTCGAGCGGATGGATGGTAGCGGAACAGTGTGTCCCTGTGATGCCTCCATAGGAGAAACGGGCGTTATAGACGCCTCGATGGAGGAGCCCCGTGGGGCTAGTGCGCCGAGGGGATCGTGGAAGAATGCCTCTGGCGCGCCCGCGATCCCCTCTTATTGGCGCGGTTGGTGGCCACCGTAGGGTTTTTAGTGGGTAAACGGTCAGCTTGGACCGGAGTCCCACATAACCCCTCTTCAGTCCCCCAGGAGAGGGGTATGCGTAACGCATTTTCCCTACGTTAAAAAAAAAAGGTTAGGTTCTCCTCCTCTCCTCTCCGATGGTACGCCACCTTGTCGTGGTGGAGAGGCCCGGGTGATCCAACGATCCGCTGTGGTAGTACCGAGGGTCCAACCCTCGGGAGGTCTGGCGGGGAGGATCACTCGCTAAGAGCGTACCAGGGCACCCGGCTTTGCCCAGAGGACAGTCTGTCCCCGAAGGGTCATTGAGACCCAATGTCGGTAGGGGTAGGCGCCCTGACTACAATCGCCCGGTCCACCATGACCGTTAGCGACGACCCTACTGCTTGCGGCGGGGCCTACCGTCCCGCTGGTGTAGGCTTGCACATCCGAATATGTGCACGGTCGACGTCCGTTATCGCCGGGCAGGGCGGGCTCGAGAGCCTTGGTTGGCAACCGCCCTAGGGGAAGGACACCCCGAAATCAAACCAACGATGTGAATATGTAATGGTTCGCAAGAAGAAGGGATCATTACCGGCCCAGGGGACTTCAGACCCCCAGGGCCCGACGGGTGAGGGGGGTAGCGTCCCGGCCCCTCCCCCGTCGTCATCGGACGACGGGTGATCCCCGAGATCAGGGGTGAGCCTCGGGGCCGAAATGGCTATCACCCCCTCTAGGAAGCTCTCTTCCTTTATGACTCCCTCGAAAGCTCTTTCGGAGCTGAGGAGGTCACTGGAAGAGCTATTGGAGGGGGCCGCAGAGTGGTGCAACTACGTCGAGAGGGTCGTAGAGGAGGCAGTGGAGGAGAAGATAAAGGACGACAACGATCTCCTTTTTCCAGGAGGCATGAACAACTTGGACAACCTTCTTGATTGGTTCAAGGACGCGTCCAGGAATCTCCGGACAGCCCAGCCTCTTCTCACGAGATCATTGGAGAGGTGGGAGGGAAAGGAGACGGGGACACAGACTTCCCTGCCCCCTTCCCCTCCCCCAGGGTCGGAGAGAAAAAAAAGAGAAGTGTCTGAGGTGGGGACGGACCCCCTTTGGGTCCCTCCCCTACTTAGACGGGATAAAGGCGTAGGTCCGGTACTCCACTTTAGGAGTCTGGGCGTGGAGACGCCGCGGGAGTGGAAGGGGGAGTGCCATGGCACCCCTCCTGCAGCGGATATGGGGGGCAGCCCAGCTCTAACGAACAACGCTGCCCCCCCGACGAGTCAGCGACGGAGAGGACCGGTTGATGGGACCCCCAGGAGAACGCTCAGGGGGTCTGGTCCGACCGGCCTCTCCTACGCTGATAGGGTGAAGGCTCCGAGTACTCGGGGTCCTGGGAAATAACGTTTGGTTCTGGCCCGGGACTCGGAAAGGTAAGGTTAGAGAAAAATGGTGACGGGGATCTCGTTGTAGAGGTCCCCGCCACCATTGAAACGGGAGATGTCATCCCCCAGAGGGGGGTTGATTCCGGATTGGAATCATCCCCCTCTGAAGGAGAGGGGAGGTCTTCTCCCGAAGTGGAGAGAAGGAGGAGAAGGCGGAGGTGGCGCCGGGCTGGTCGCCCCTCGGCAGTTTTGCCGAGTGAGTGGCCGGCCAGGTGCTACTTCTGTCTGGAGGCAGGGCACGTGGCGGCCCAATGCCCCGAGAGCGGAGGGAGTGATAGGGGGGCGCGCTGCTATAAATGCGGCGCGCCCTCTCACAAAATGGCGTCGCGTCGCGCGGAGACTCCGAGATGCCCGCTGTGCGCGGATCTCGGGCTCCCTGCGTGGCATATTTTGGTGGCGGAGGGGTGCAGGCCCCCGCTCCTGGGAGTGGAGAAGAGTGGGCGTAGTGGGGGGCCCCGTTGAGCCCTGGTGCAGGCCAGGGGCTTCCCCCGTCCAAAATAGAAGGGAGAACGTGCCAGAAACGCGGCCCTCCGGACCCCTACCCGGAAGGGTGGGATCCGTGGGAGTGTGCAGACGGCCCCGGTAAGGTCGGTCCCTCCCCTGGGCCGCCGCGAATCTTTTGGTTCGGGCGGCCCGGGGGGGGTTACGGCCAACGGGGGGGGACAGTGAGATCCGCTAAATAGCGGAGGTCATAGTCTCCCCCCCAGGAGATCATCGGGGGAGGGCTAGTAGCCTACGGGCGAATATCCTTTTCTCGGTGACCTCGTCGTGAGGGGAGAGATAACGGCGGGGGACCTTCTGTCCCCTGCTCGAACTTCGTGGTGGGTCCCCGGGTTGAATGGCGAATCCATTTCCCCACGGGGGGTGGAGGGAGCACCAACCTGGGGGCTAAGGGGGCCGGGACCCGAGCCGGGTGAGCTCAGACCCCGATCCTGTCCCCCCCCTGTCCACCCGCAACCACGACACGCGCGCGCGCAGATGGAGGACCAATCGAGCCCTCCCCGGGAAGAAGATCGGGCGGCTATGATCGCACAACACCCGCGACGTCGCCTCCTGATTGCAGCGGGGGAGGAATCGGGGGGCAGGGGACCGATGTATTGCAATTGCGAGTCCCAGGTCCCTGTCCCCTCCTCCTGCCGCGGGGATGGCCACCCCAGGGGTTTTAGCGGGTATACCTCACTTTGAGGGAGTCCCGCATCCCTCGCTCCCTCCCCGGGGAGTGAGGGTATCCATCAAGGATTTCCCCTGGGTAAAAATAAAAAAAAAAAAAAGGTTCTCCTCCGTGGGCACCACCTTGTCGTGGTTGGGGAGCTTAAGCCGTTCCCGGTCCCCTGGGGCGACTCAGTTAGCCTTTGGCTGCTGTTTCGGCCTGGGGGGGCGGGGCGGTGAACTAAGAGTGCCCATCGCGCGCGCAACAGACCCCGAACATATTCAGAGACCTGTTACGATGGAGCGTGCGCGCGGAGGGAGCGATTATCGCTCAAGCGGCCTCGGCCGCGTAAGGAGGGCGTGCGACGGGCTTTCTGGGGGGGGGGGGGGGGGGGGGGGGGGCGTAAGGAGGGCGTGCGACGGGCTTTTCTGTGGCGGCGCAAATTAAGGGAGCGTAACACCGCTCACGTGGCTCCGTGGCCTTGACCACGAAGAAAGAGGACGCGCCACGGACTGGCCCGGCCTTCTGAGCACGCGTATGGAGAGTGCGCCGACCCCTCGTAGATCTCGAGGGGTCGGTTGTCAGAGGGAAGGCGGGTCCCTCCGTCGTCCGCCGTTGCTGGCGGTGCGCAGCGGGCTCGGGGCCGGTGTCCCTGGGGGTCTGGCGATTGGCCGTGACGGGTCAATGAGTTCCCTGCTAGTAGTCCTAGCCTTGGGTTCTGGGTGGGGGTGCCCGCGCTCTGAACGGGACAGAGCCGGGGTCTCCTCCCCCCACACTACCCGTTCCCTTGGCGAGTCCCGAGGGGAGGACTGGGGTGGCAGGAAACCACCACCTCTCCCCCTTGGGACGCCCCAGGGCGAACGCGGAGGTCATTGAGGGACATTGGCCTGGCCATTGGTCCCCTCCGGGGGCATTGGGTCCGGGTCTGCCGTGCTCTGTTTGGCGGTGGGGAGGCTTGCCCTCTGGGCGTGGGGGGGTGTTGTTTTGGAGGGGACTTGTCCTCCCCCTCTTGCACACTCCGCCCACAGGGCAGCGGGATCCGGGGTGGAAACCGGGGCTCCAGTGGCTGCCGGAGGGTCAAGGAGTGGCAGGATTAAGTGACTCGCCCTGCCATCCGTTGGGGCAAACATCGCCCCAATACGGAGGGGACCCCTTCCTTTTCACGAAGGAAGGGGTTACCACGTGCCTCGGGGGGAGCTCGCGGCTGCACGCGCAAACGTTCCCGTGGCTCTCCCCCTTGTGCGCTGAAGGAGACCACCAAGGGGTTTTAGCGGGTTTAGTCGAGATTTATCCCGGAGTCCCGCATACCCCCCGCCAATTCCACTTGGCGGGGGGATGCATAAATGCATTTTCCCTTGTAAAAAAAAAAAGGTTAGGTTAGGTTAGGTTAGGTTCTCCTCCGTGGTGTGCCACCTTGTCGTGGTGGAGGAGCTCCCCTCTTCCCACTGTGTTGAGGGGTCTAAGAGCACACCATTGCACTTCCTCATTTTCCGTTCGGCATTGAGCCGGCGGGGGATGAGAAAGGGGGGTTGCGCTCCCTCCGGGCACCTTGGCCTGATGCGCATAGGGGTAGGCGGCCCTGACTACAATCGCCCGGTCGGTCACGA